CTTTTACACAGTACATATCATTAAATATGTTCTTTTTGTGTGTGTGTGTGTGTGTGTGTGTGTGTGTGTGTGTGTGTGTGTGTTGTTCCTCCTGAGATAAATTCAGGTAAAGCTTTGCAGACAAACACACTGCACAGACCCTCATGTCATTGTTTTTGCAAAGTTTGAACTATTTTTTTTCAAGCTGCAGATAAAGCAGAATTTCTAAAATGTGAGTTGAAGCATCAAAGCTGCTCTCATTCTGAGTCTGAGCTGACTCATTCACTCATTTATGAGAACGTGAATGAGGTTATGAAGTGCACGTCTTTTGAGTTTTTCTGAAAAGAAAAATAGTAAAAACACTCAGAGGAAGTCTGACTGGAATTCATATACTGTGTGGACTGGGTGTTTAAAAGTGTTCAAACGTAACACCTGTCAGATTTGAACACAAGTATGGAATCATTGTGTTAATATAAAGTGCCTAAAGTTTATTAAGGATCCCCATTAGTTAATATCTCAGCAGAACTATTCTTCTTGGGGTTTACTGTTATTTTATTGGGATTATTGTAATTCTTTGTGTTGGTTTAGATAAATCTTCTCTGTATCGATTACAAGTTGTCCAAAACGCAGCAGCTCGTCTTTTAACAGGAACTAAAAAATACGAACACATATCCCCGGTTCTGGCTTCTCTCCATTGGCTTCATGTTCATTTTAGGATAAATTTTAAGATTTTATGGCTTATTTTTAAAGCTTTAAAAGGTCTGACCCCATCCTAACTGTGTGATCTCATGAACATCCATACTTCAGTTAGAGCACTTCAGTCATCCAACCAGTTTCTCTTAGATGTTCCTAGATCTAGGCTAAAGTTTAGAGGTGATCGGGCCTTTGCAGTCTCTGCCCCAAACCTTTGGAATGGTTTACCTCTTAGCATTCGGACTGCTGAGACTGCTGAGCCTTTTAAATCTCTACTTAAAACTCACTTTTACTCCCTGGCCTTTCATTCTGATAGAGGTTGAGATTCTTTTAAAGATGTTTTTAATGTTTTTCTGTATTTTTTAAATTGATTTTATTGTTGGTCAACTTTTGTTGTTTTTTATGTGCTATATAAATAAATTGACATTGACATTGGTGTTGCATGTAAATGCAAAGAAAAGTTGTCACAACAAATTAGTTGACTTACCCTGACCAGACAGAGAGAAAAAAATTAGGGATGCACCGATATGAAAATTTCAGCGGATATGATATCCAATGTAATTATTGTTGTTATGGCCGATAACCGATATTGACCGATATGACACAAAAGCACAAATTATATTACACATGTATATATATTACACAAACGCACAAATTATATTACACATATGTATACACACAAACACACTTGGGTCTTTTTTTGATACCGTAAATGAACGACCACACCTCTGACATGACTCTACTTCAGTTATTCCTGGCTGCACAGCATCAATATCACTATCATGATCAAACAGATGCYGCTCAACCAACCAGCTCCCCTCCCACAGCAGAAACACAAAGCTGAAAAGTGGGAAATCAATATTGGACGTTAATATCAGCCCAGTTTTACATATCGGACCGATACGATATTCTAAAAAATGACCAATATTGGCTGATGCTGATATGATTGCCGATTTATCGTGCATCCCTACTTCCTGGGGTTGCATGTAATTGAAAAAAAAAAGTTGTCACAACCAATTAGATGACTTTCCTGACCAGACAGAGAGAATATATATATATATATATATATATATATATATATATACACACACACACACATATACACATACACACACATACACACGCACATATCTCATGGCAACATCATTGTTATTATTTTTATCAGTTGTGATATTAACCTGAAGGTGAACTGCCACAAACTATTTGAACCTGCCTCAACTTTTCAGTAACTCCAACATCTTTTTCACATTGACTCAACTTTCACTACCATGTTTCAACTTCAAACACGGATGCAGCCAAATACCACAAATGTGAAACACAGATATGGAACCGTGACAACACAACCTACATCCTGATGTGTGAATCCATGAAAGATGAGCAGCTTTTTAAGCCTTATTTTCTAAAAATCATCAAAAACACCTTTTTTCACATTCTCCTTTTGTGCATCTTTCACTTCTAAAGTCTATATAGGCTGTGCTGCCACTTGTTTAGTTTTAATTAAAAGCCCAATTTCTGGTCTTTTTTTTGTCAGGTACTTTTAAAAATACCTAGCAGAAGAATATTATTTGTTGATTTAGCATTTAATCAACTGAGAACTAATTTTCTTCATGTCCTGATGACATAACAAAACATAATAAAAGAATGAGGATTATCGCTGCCAAATACAATAAAATAAAACTGAATGAACTCAAAGACTCTGATGCTGCTGCAACAACTGCTTCACACGGGTTTGCCCACAAGCGGAGCGGGGGGTGGGGGTGGTAAACATTCGATGGCGGCAGCAGCGGCGTGGCGGCTTTACAAGCGAACCGGAGACACGTCCACAGAGGCAGCTATGCAACCTCACCCCCACGCAGTCACAAACACATCAAGCGCACACATCCACACACGGTGACACACAGGATGTTTGGAGTCCAAAACCATCTTCCCAGGGTCCCGTTCTCAAGGCCGTCGCCACGGCAACTGACTGACACACAACATTCCTCTATCCCTCCGGGGGTCGTTGAAGCCAGTGATGTCCGGGGCGCACGGCTGTGTGAATGTGTGTAGATGTGTGCTGGACTGACACGAGACCCTGCAGGGTTACCAAAACTGATCTCCGGAGGGACAAATTGGGAAAGTTATTTGACACAAATACACTCAGAAATGTTAAAGACGTGGAACGCCACCCAGGAGAGGAGGCCATGACCTCGATCATAGTAACAACACATCTGTCTGTACTTCCCCTAGTTCATGCTGGGATCATCACTACCTTTTTTTTCTTTTTGCACAGCATATACCAAGGCTACGCCTATTGGTTTTTTTACTTTTGCCGTCATCAACAAATCCGTCGATAAACTAACATAATCTCAAATAACGCTCGAGCAACCAAAGCTCCAGATTGTTCCAAAACTAATAAAAACCTATTGATAAACCACAAATTTCAATTTCAAA